CGTCTTTCATATTGAATACAATTCTCTCAAATGAAGTCACTTTTCGGGGAACTATTCGATGATATTGTCGGAGTTCTTCGGCCGGAAACCAAGACGGCTCCTCATCTGCCAACACATGTACGCCAACGAGTCTTAAGAGCGCCACTCCCGGGATCCACAGCACAGACATCAGAATTAATGCAAATATGAGTGCTATAGCCCACGGCGGCCAGTCTTTGTGGTCGTTCGTTGCCTTCAAATACAAACAAATGTCAAGTGAATCACATTTATTACTTGTAAAGTACAATATGTTATGACATATTTAACTAAATGTGAATAATTACCAAATGTATTGTATTATAGATTTTAGTAAAACAGAATTGTATTTTGAGACATTTATAAATAAAATAAATTAATATAAATTCAAAATGATTTTAATGGAAATGCATTAACAGAATATTTTAAACTAAAGTCTGAATGCTTTTGTGTAAATGTGATATATATTGATATGTTTTAGGCATGAATTAAAGATGAGATGCACTATATTTCATGTCTGATGGTATGGTTGACAATATTCTTTGCTTCAGACTTTATGTATTAATCTCTATTTCCTTTACATCTCAGCCTTTAGTCTAAATTTGAGATTTTTGTTAAAATATTACTTTAAAAATAAAATGAATTTTTTAATGAATTCATTAAAAAATTATATAATTTTTGTATAAAAAGCCCAGAATTATAGCTAAAGAGGCGTAAAATACATGGAAAACGATTCCCAGTTTGATGTGATAGTTGTCTAAAAGTGTCGTCGACTCGTATATCAATCGATATAATTATAATATAAATTTATTACTGTAAAGTTCCCCCATAACCCATGGCTTATATAGACATAAAAGCGATATTTTTTGGAAATTATTCTTTAGATATTAAAATATTTAAAATAAATTATTACAATTAATAATAACAGTATTTTAAATATAAAGTTATATTATAAATTGCATGTTTTGTCAATACAAACATTTATGGAATAAATACTTATTATCGGAATAAAGACATCACCAGAAATATTAAACTTATGTTCAATAAATCAAAGATTACTTGTATATGAAATAATTTCAATTATACAATTATTGTATAAGATAAGTTTTTTGTAACTAATACACCGATTTTGCACTCCTTTGATGTCTATAACAAGTAATAAGAATTATATATTAATAGTATTAATATTTGGATTGTTTTAATAAAAATTGTGATGCGAGAAATGTGGGCAATATTACGGTATAAAAAGCATTCAACGCTTCAATATAACGGATGGTTTCATTAACTTCTACAGTATATTGACATAAAAATGATAACTATTCTGAATAATTTAAAATTTAAGACTATTTTTGCTAAAAGACAAATGTCTACAGAATATAATACCATATTTACAAGAGTAGCAAAAATGCGAGAGAATTTAGATTCTTATATATTTTATATAATCCTAAGGATTGTGTTTTGTTTTTCAAATATTCATTTGTTGTCTATTAAGGAGTTTTCTTTAATCGAGTTTACGCTTCAAATATCCAACAAAAATAAAAAGTACGCAAAACTTAATGTATTTTAACTTCAGATCATTTATCTAAGGAAGCATTTTATAAATCAAAATCATTCGTTAAGTCATTTAAGTATCACTTAATAATAATAATGAAAATTTAAAGCAACGAATCTAATGTTCAGAAAAATTATATCAAAAATGATATGATTATAGTCAACATTTTCGAAACCGAATTATTATAACAAATTAACATTATTTTCATCATTAAATTTCATAAATTTCAAGCAAAACACAAATAAAAATTTTTATACCAAATAAAAATTAAATTAAATCATCAATTATTACACAAGTTTTATAAAGACAACACTTTATATAGAAAGAAAAATACGAATTTACAGAAAACAGTTGTAAATCTGGTAAATATTTGTCCGACACTAAAGAGAGAGTACAACAACTCAGATTACCAAAAATTATATTTAAATAGCTAAAAATTCACTCTCTTTTTACTAAATGGCAAAGAAATAAGGTCTGCAGTATTGGTGAAGGCGGGCTCTCGAATTACTTTGACCGCTAGTCATAACAATCCATAGTTAGCGGCGATAGATATCTCCAACTGTAGCCAAGAGACCGCAAAAACAGCACACAATTAGTTGTTAGGTATCGCATAATATGCGAGAAACACAAATCATTATAAAGTCGTTATATTAATTCAAAGTATTTATTAACAAATTCCTTAAGAATCAAAATTTTGTTTTCCAAAAACTAATGTTATTTTTGAGATAATGAATGTGTTTCTCAAAAAAATAAGAATAAAATAAATGAAAAATGTGTTTTTTATACCAGAATAAAAACCAATGGTTTACTCTCCGACCGGTCATTAACTCATAAAGTAGCGATTTAGACGCAAGTTTTCGGCCCTTTTGCTAAAATTAATTACAAATCAACAAAATTTTATTGTTATTATTGTGAAAATCGTTATGAAAAATTCAGGCATTTGTATGCTTTGCCGTTAACATTCGCAAAACGCGACAATAAGTAGTGGGAAATTGCCGGCGAAGTCATCGAAAAGAGCAAAAATATAATTTCCAGAACCGTTACAAAACATAAGGGAAATGAAAAATGATATCTAAAATTGAAATCAAAGAAAAAGAACAGCACTTGAAGTCAATCGACTCTAAGAATGGTTTCGTATTTTTCATATATACCAAACATATGGCACCTATTGTTGAGAAAGAGAGTGGAAATTAATGTTTAAATATTGTAATCATAAAGAATTTGTGTTCAATTCTTGAACAGAATTACATAATTTGACAAAAAATAATGACATTTACAAACCTGTGAGGATCTCCTTTCTTAGGTTTGGAAATAGTTTCATATCCACTATCGAAGTGACCGCTCCCTCAAGAGTGCCGAACTGGGAATCAATTCCTGTCAATATATCATACATTTCTACGTAAGTAAAAGACGAATAAATGGATAGACAGTCAGTCAATACCTAAAGTGAAAAGCATTAAGAAGAAGAGGAGCGACCAGAAAGCAGATATTCCCGGGAATTGAT